GCGGCGGCGGCCGCACGTACCCCCCGGCGGGCCGGGGAGCCGGAGCGAGGGGCGAGGCGGATCCAGTCAGAAAGGCGCTGTAAACAGGCGTGGGGAGGCGGCCGCTCGCCGAACGCCCCGTTACCTGCGGACAGACGGCAGGGGGAAGCGTCGGACCGGGCGCCAGACAGCACCCTGTGGTCACAGAGCCGGCCTGACGGTTCGGCCTGAGGGGAGCCGAAGGGCCCGCGGCCCGCCTCGCCCGGGCCCGGGCCCACGGTGGCAGGCGGTGGGCTCGCTTCCAGCCGTGCGCTGGCTCGTTTTTCTCCCCCACGACGGTCCGGCATCGGGGCATCACGGCGGCGAGGGTCGGACGGGGAAAGCGTAGCGGCGTGAACGCTCTGGGGAGCTGCAGCCCCGCTGGCAGCGGCTGAGCGCCGCCCTCGTCAAGTCTGCAGCGGCCTGGGCTGTTTTGCTCTTTTCTTTGGGAAAATACAGCCTTTGAAATGCACTGTAGTTGAAACTGTCTGCCTAGCTATATACAGAAACGCGTGCTTGTCAAAGGGGTTGTGCCAATATAAAGGAGGTGTCATACTGGCGTTTCTCAGAGCGTGAGGTGTGCGCTGGCACTTCTGAATTGGCCCTTTGGCCACGGGACCTCATGTGGAGGCTTCAAAATCTTCTGACCTCTGCGTTCCCATCCACCCCAAATGACAAAACCCTGGGTTTATCTACTGCTTATCACATCATAAATGCAGGAGGCTGAGTCTCCATTTTGACCTAACTCTGACTGGCCTTACAACACCATGCGCAGAAGTGGTCCAGAAACAAGATCCAGCTGCGGTACTTTCCCCCTCCCAGTCTGCTGCAGTGAGGGTATTATGGATGTGCCCCGCTGATGTCAAATCTGAAGTTGCTAATCTTGTTATTGAGGGACATTTGCAGAGCAGGAGTTACGGTAGCTGTGAGGCAGCCACATGCCAAATATCGAGCCAAGGCTACAGAGCTAGAAGAGTGGCTTGAAGCCATCTTTTGTCATGACGGTGGTGATGATGATGATGATGAATGGTGAAGATTAACTCTGGTACCCCACCCTCCATTTCTGACCAAGCACACCTGGGAATGCAGAACCCATGCTGTTGCTCATCTAAGCCTCCTTTAACACAACTCTGCAGAGGCTGAGAAACACTAGACAAGCATCTGTATTACTGGTGCACTCTACATGGCTCCACTGTGCACAGCCTCCTCCTTGCTTCCCTGGCACAGGAGCCATTTCACGGACAGCAGTATTGTGCACTGGAGCAATGCACAGAACTCCAGCTGTAAGGAAGATTACACTAGATATGAACTCCATTGCACATCCAACAGCTCACATAAATGTGCCCGCTGTGACCTATCTTCCAATCTATAGTAGCTAATTGATATCCCAAATGCCATGAGAAACGTTTCCGACTTTCCTTCTCCTCACTGAGACGCAACCCACAGCTTCCACCAGCTGTCTGGAATACATGTTGGGATACGCCTCTCCACGTTCAGTGCTTGCCTCTGGCTGCCTGTGAGACTGGCCAAACCAAGAGCAGTCAGTCCCAGACCAGATACCATTCTGACAAGCACACTCCAGGCTAGTGCCTGCTTGGGCACCTTCCTTCTATTAGAAGAACGTATGCTGTCCTACAAGAGTTGAAGATCCTTACCAATGCAACTCATATGTTCTATCTGTTTATTGCAGCAAGGGCATGAGTCAGTTTACAAAACTGTTTACTTAGCAGCAGGAGGGCAGTAAATACTATAAATTGTTAACAACTGAATCATCTCTGGCAAAACTATCACATGTAGATACACAGAAGAGCTGACTGAAAAGTCTGCATGTTCCCAGTCATGCTTGAAAATCTGCGCGCCAAAATATTTTGAAATGTTTTGGGAATGTGTCTTCTGGTTGATACTGGATTAAGGATACTTCCACTACCAATGCAAAATCTCCACATTCCTTTAATAGTACACATTGGTATCAATAATATCAATGCCTCATTAGTATCAATACCTCCATGTAGGAAATTTTTAAGTAGATACTTTTTAAAGGTAAGTGTTGACTGCAGGGAGTGTGGAGACTGTTCTTGGTCAGGAAAAAAATTGGTTGTTGTTGTTTTTTGAATAAGACATTTTGGGTTATATTTTCCCTCTCATCCTTAAAGGACTGGTGTTCTCGGGAAACTGCCAGTTCTTCCATTGGATGAAAAGGTGTTCTTCGGGAGGTCAGCAACCATACTTCTGTTGACCTCATCGGACCGGGGTTTGAAGTTGTATCTTAATACCTCTTTTACCTTTCCTTCCTGATTCCAAGTCTCTGTGATGTGTATGCATTTTTTTAAGTTCTTAGAATCTATGAGTGACAGTTGCCTTTCTAGGGTTAGCACGTCTCCTACTGCAACTTCCTCTAGCAACTAATGCAATCCGGTCTCTATACAACTCATTGTTGCGTTCCTGAAGCATTTAGAAATCATGAGTCACATCTAAAAGAAATATCATCCCCTTGTAAAACTCACAATATTGTAAATGCTGGTGCCTTTCTATTTACCTTTTGATTTTTGAGCCTTTAGGTACACTCGGATCACATTCACATTCTCTTAGGAATGTGATGTTAATGAATGTGAATGTTAGTGAAGAATAGGAATGTGCTTTTCCTTTCTTTTTTAATAAAAGTGGAGATTGTCACACAGTCACAGAACCCCAGGAACTAGACAGTATGCATAGGAAGAAATCATTCTTCACGATGAAAACAAACTATTAATCTATTTTTTAACACATTTGTTCTGGTTTATCCAGTTGTTTCAAATACTACATGATGAACATGAAATAATTTTCTGCTTATAAAACTGAACGGGCTTTTTACCAACAAAACTAATTTTTAAATACTACAGTTGGGGCCACCATGCTGGTTCTGAACAGACTCACTTGCACATCCTGCTTTTAAGTTCTTATTTCTGCTCCTTACAACTTCCATGCAAGTTTTTGTAATGAGAGTGAATCCATCTTTGTTGAAGTTAACAGTGGTGTAGTGGTACTAATACATACCATTTATGGATTGACCATGCCACTCTGCATGTGAGGCTGTGTGCTTTGCTGATACAACTTTCGCCGATAAGCTTTTCTTTCCTGAGATAATCCTATTAATGTTCAAAGGGCTTATGCCGTCTCTTGCCTTTGCATTGCTGATTATTTGTGGGTAAGATGTGAGCACCCACAAGGTATCTAATGCTCACACTTCCCATGTGGTGCTGGACTGGTGGCATATTGCAACAGCATGAGCACAGTGTGCTAGATACCCTACGTCCCGCAAAGAGGCCATGTGTACTGTTCTTGCCTAAGTGTCCCATAATAGTTCCACTCCCACAAAGTGTGTGATGACCTGCTATGGCTGTGCAGTTCTTGTCACTAAAAGTGACCCATCTTAGGTCATAAGTCTGAGACTTCAGAAGGCAACAGAATCCCCTCCTGCAGTTAATACTTTGCCTTTTAGATAACCTCTACTGATCCATAGAATAGCGTGTTCTCAATTGGGTGTTCAGCCCTGGTCAGGTCATGTAATTCCTGGCTCAGTTTATTACGTCTGTACTCCGGGGCACTGGCCATTTTAATGGGACCATTGGAGACATTACTGCTGACTCTGTATGTTGAAAAAAAATCCACAAAGCAGCACTCCAAATCCTTAACACTGGCTTTAAAAAAAATATTTATTAAAAAGGAGAGTTTATGTATGAGCCTTTCACTAAAATTTGCTTTATGTGTTCAATTTTTTTCTCAGGAACCAGAATGGCTAGGTATATTTATTTTACAACCTGAACCCAAGCTGTCCAACTCCCCAGGAACCAAGCTTAAAGACGAATGCCAGCTATCGGAAGACAAGAGATTTCATGACCAAGTGTGACAAAGAAATAGTAAGAAAAAAAAAAGCTAATAGGAAACCAAACAACGATAGAGACAAGGACGTTAGGAATAAAACAAAGAAATTATAGTGGCTAAAAGCTGAGGTTTATTATGGCAGTCAATTTTTACCTTCCAGCCTCTTTTTTGGGGGGGGGAAGCTACCAGAAACATTGCAGTTACAGAGAGGCACATGTATGAAATCACAAATGCAGATGAATGGTTGAGAGGCCCATCCTGAAGTTACTCAGAAAGAATGGGTAAATCTCATAAGTAGGACAGCATCAAAATGTCACTCAGCTGTTGGTACCTAAAACCTTCTTGCCCTGTTACGTCTCAGAGTAATTGTTGCTAGAAGACTACTGCATGCCATAACAGACAATCCTAAGTGGGTGACAAATCAGTTGTGTAATTCCATTCTCTAAAGCCTAGCAGTAGATTACATCCAGAGTACTTTGTTTAAATTTTAAAAGGAAAAGTGAAGCTGAGCTTGGTAGTCGGGCAGAGTATTTTTCATATTGATGCACTGCTCTTAACATATAGAAACCCTAGCTAGATAAAAAAACATATTTGCCACCCGGAAATGGGGGAGGTACTTCTACATATATATATATATATATTGCCCTACCAGCACAGTTGTGGCCAAAAGTCATGGCAATACACTATGCTGGCTTTTGAGCATCTACTTTCCTATTATTAGGTATCCCTTGCAAGTATTTTCAAGGTCTAAGGAATGATAAAAACTAGAGATACATCCTTAACCACAGGAGAATACTGGGAAGGGATCCTGTCTGTCTGAAATCAACAGAACCCTGAAAACCTGGAGATGCCTGATTTCCTACATTCCTGTACCTTTCTTACTTAAGGAAATACCTGTAAGCACCATGCAGGATGCAGACAAGTTGACTACACCTGATGAGATTCTTTTGTGATGTCCTGAACAACCTTTAATACGGGCATAGGCACGGCAATCTAGCCT